CTAATTTACCATACACTTCAACTATATTTTTCCCCCTTAACTTAGTGAATTAGACAACTAAGTTGTTACTAGTTTGCCTATAATAACTCAATATACGTGCACTTCAATATTTCTAAGGTGGACCATACTGACGAATGATTTATTCACTTTTTTTTCCCTTTCACAATTTATGGTTTTTTCCCTTCAAAAACATACACCAACTGTTACAAATACAGTATCATATATTAAAGAGAATGATTAAATGTAAGAACGGATATTCACAAAATAGATCTACGACCCTCTAATATTTTTTCTTTAAAATTGATACATATAATTAATTTTGTAATGTAAAAAATTACCATTCTTTTTTAAACCTAAAAAATTACCATTGTTTAGACTAAAAATTTAAAAAGAGGAAAATCTAATGCTCTAAATGATGACTATAAAAAATAAAAAAAGGGAAAAATATCAGATTCTCATTCATTCTTAATTTTTTTTTACCATTTATATGTAATAAATATTCCATGTAGTTCCTTTTCATTCCCTGCAGTAAGAAGGAATATAGAACAAAATTGTTTCCCATCTATTTTGACAAGAAATGAAAAAGAATGCGGAAAAAATTTATTTTATTACTTGAAATTTTTATTTTTTTTGTTACCATTTACTAAGACAATTTGTTTAATTTTCTCTCTACATTCATTCTTTATAATTTATTCCATACAACTTATTTCAATCTTTTTCCTCATCATTCCTTTTATTCCTCAAGTGGTCACCAGTTAGAACCCAAGATAAATTTTAAAAAGTACCATTTTTGAAATGCCATTTTTCAAAAATATGACATTTTCAAAATCTTTACAAAAATGTCACTTTTTCAAAATTATTTACTTATTATATCATTTATGTTTGGGTTAATTATGTTGTAATAGAGTTTAGTTATGATGGTTTAGAGATTTTTAAAGGTCAAAATATTTTTTAGGATCTAAAATTTTAATAGTGGCATTTTTGTGGATGGACAATCCATAGTGACATTTTTAAAAATATACACATCAAAAATGATATTTTTGCAATTGTCTCAAAATCCAATGTATTTCGGGTGCGAAAGCGCATGTAACATGCGTTACTAATGTATTTTATATTTTTTTTGTTTCATAAACTAATTGTAATTGATAAAAGAAAATGAGATAGTAGTTGTTAATATATATTCAAAAGATCAAGACAGAGAGATATAATCATTTGTGATCTAAAAACACTATACTGATATCAGTATAATTTTTTCAAACTCGTAATCAGCTCACTACAAAAAAAAAAAGGTGGTTTGTGTCATTTATTTTGTTAGTTTACATCACTTTTTGATTGATACAACTAAAACTATATCATTTTCGTGAGTGATTCTAAAAATNATGACTCTAANATTATGTATCAATAAAAAAGACCGACACAAATATTTTCATCATTTGTTATAATTGATGTCAGTATGTGTCACTTATAATAAATGAAGCTAATCTTTACATCAATTGTATAAATGATCTTAAATATTTGTTTCGATTATAGCAAGTGATGTTAAATATTTGTTTCGGTTATAGCAAATGATGTTAAATATTTATAT